AGGAGGGGGAGGTTAGAGCCTCACCCCACTCTAAGGAAGCACCATAAAGAACCAAAGACACGAAAGAAGCCATATTGTACCATCGAAAGAAATACCGTTCCGCAGTCTATGAGTGAACCTGGACATGTTAGTGACCTGGGTGCCTGACTCCAATTGATGATATGGCAGAATTTTAGGATCAGCATTTTTTTCCAACGAATTTTTGATGAAGTCCCTACTCTTACCTCCTACACACACACACACACACACACACACACACATCACTCTCTCCAACCAGATGCACACAGGTGTCCTTGGAGCTCTATTCCCTGAAACCAAACGTCATTGAGCCCCTGCGGGTATCACCAAAGCTGAAAGGGAGGCCACTCCAGGAGATGGGAGCCTCTCCCCTCTCTCCAAGTGATTTATGCCACTAGCCTGCCTGCTACCACACACAAGTACCCCACCCCAGATAACCATGTAGCAGGATTTCAAATATTTCCATCTCATTTTACATGCAATGATGTGCCTTTCTGATCAATAATCCCATCCTGGCATCCCTTCCTTCCTCTTGCTTCTCAACAAGCAGGAAAGGAAGTACACACACACACACCCTCCAAAGTGAGCCCAGAGGGAGGGCATGTGTGACAAAGGAACACATACAGTCTAAGGACAATTTGGCCTGTCTTCATTCCTTAATTTACTTGCTAATTTAAGGAGAGATATATTTAGGAAGACCTGAACAGAAGGAGAAGCCTTGTCTCCACCTTTACTTCACACACACACTGTAACAATCCACTGTAACATTCATGGGTATCCATGGCTTATATATTTTTATATATACCCATCATATATGCAATGCTATGGTAATGTCACATGTAATATCACAATATGCATACATCCATATTTCTTGTGAATAAGAAACAATTTCACTGGCCTAATTTTCTGTTCAAAATAAAGTCCTTTAAATAGGGTTTAATAAGCTTACGCTTCGGGGGTGATTAGGTGTATAGAGAATTCTACTGCTTTGACACTTAAATTCTATTTTTCTATTTTCTTAAATCAACACTATTTAGAGCTAGTGAAACCAAAGAATATCAGACAACAATAAGAAGCCATTCTAGATCAGATTTTCAAGTCATAAATAAAGCTACATTTTAGAAACTTAATGTTTCTTAAGAAAGGAAAAAATTTCAAGCCCTCTATTTTTCAAGGTGCTTTCAGTATCCAAAGATACCTCTGAACTGGGTTTGATTCACAGTTACTTGTTGTGTGCCTGGTGGAATTAAATTTTTTTGTAATCATCTTCTGTCCCTATGAAGATTTCTGTTATACCAGGAAAAACTTAACTTTGATATGCAGTGGGGTACAGGATTCATTGACAGAGATGCAATTAGAATATAGCTCTGTTTTATTCATTATTAGTAATATGGGTTTATTTGTACATCATACATATTGCTAAGGGCCTGCTCTGGGATGTGAATTCATACTTTATCAGAACACGTTTAGATACACTTGAAGAAAAATTTTTTAAAAAGAAAAACATTTGCAAAACTAAGTTGAAGAACAGCCCCCATGAACATTTTAGAGATTAAAAAAAAAAAAAAACAGAAATCTTGATCTAAAACTCTTGACTTTAGGGACCCTAAGGGATTCCAATTTTATTTAAAACAGAATGATCAAAACTTTTATAACTAGAGAATGCAAACAAAAATTTAGCCCTAACAAGACCCTCCTTCCCTTTTCCTCAAAACACTTCACACCCTATTTCCAACCAGCATCTAAAGCTAAAGGAAAGAACTTCCGAGATGAACTCAAACTTTAAATGAAAAGTCGTTTAAAAAAAAATTCTGGAATTTTAAGTGAGTAGTATGTTAAATGGAAAAAATCTCAAGGATCCAAATCAGTTCCAAAAGCCCAATCTTTCTAGGAGAAAATATATTTTACTGTTTAAGGAAGTTAACACCTGAATCACACTCACGTTTCTCAGGCCCAGGTGAGCCTTAGAGCTCAAACGGGAAAACGGAGGTATCTGGGGAACACGAAGAGCCTGAGATCGCCCCCTCCTCCACACAGTGTGGGACCACCTACATCTCCTTTACAGAGGAAACAGCTATTACCTTGAGCAGAAAAAGACTAAGGAGAAAAAGGCAATCTGGAATACCCGACCTGGTTTCTTTTCACCCCCGTCCTTGGCAAGGTTTTCCTCGGGCGTCGCCTTTCCTTGGCACCCTCTCCCATCTTTCCCTACCGAAGCTAACATTCGCTTGGAAGCATTCCCATTCCCATTTAGCAGGATGTATCTATCTAGTATCTGCCCAGAGGTCTCGAAAATATCCCCGCCACCCCCCAATTTGCCTTTACTTCCGGTGTAATTAAGATGATCATTCGTAAAGAAAAGCTACCATATCTCCATCGCCGGCGGCGGTGAGGATGCGCCGGAGGGGGGCCCCCGAAGCTGGCGAGCAGGGAGGCGGGCTCGGCCCGGGTCGCTTGCCTGAAGCCCGCCGCTGCGTGTGTTCGTGTCCTTGACGCGTACGTTTCCCTTCTTAAGGGAGGCTAATGAACGCTCTCTGGTTCCTAATTGCAAAGATAACCATCTTGAGTCAGCACTGAAACGGGGGAGGTGGAGAAGAGGCCCTGGGTCATGAACCCCCGGAGAGGTCAGGGCTCCAAGATTCGCCTGGATGTCTCCTAAAACCGGGAGATGGTGGCCAACTGTGTCTGCGGGTTCCCCGGGTTCCCTAGAAGAAAGACCCTCCGACTAGAGGGCGCGTGTGCCCTCGCGAGGGTGCAGGCCCATCCTGCGCCCCCCACCCCTTAGGGTTCTCTAGAAGCGGAGGCATTGCCTTCCCCGGGGCACAGGCGAGGCCTCGAGGGCGGGGCCGAGCCTGGGGCGCAGAGGCCTTCGGCCTCCGGAGTCCACGCCACCGGGTACCCGCCGCCCAGGGCCGCCCCGACGGCCCCGACGCGCTGCCCGTGCGGCCAGTAGGTGTCGCTGTCCCCCCGCTGGCCGGAGCCGGGAGCCCCGCGCTGGACCCCCCGAGCCACTCCGTCTTCCGCGCCGGGCGGGTTCACAGACCCACCAGCGCTCCCGAGAGAGGGCCGCTGCACCCCCGCTCCCAGGGACCGTCCGCTCGCTCACCTGGCCACGACCGCAGAGATGCCGGCCGGCCTCAGGGAGCGCCTTCGGGGGAGAGAAAGAAGAGAGGGCTCCGGTGGGGGCGAAACGCGAGGCCCCGACGGAAGCGGCTCAAAGCCACCAGCTCTCCCTCCTTTCTCTTCTTTCCACGTGCACTGGGACCGCGCTGGTGAAAATCCCAGGCCGGGCTTTCAGCTGGGGCTTCCCACTGGCTTTAAAAATAAACAAGAGACTTGAAATCCCAGCTTCGTGGGAGCCAGCCACAGAAAGAGTGGATTGGTTTCCATTTCTCGCCTTAAAAAGAAAAAAGAAAGAAACCTGGGCCTGGCCACATGCGTGAGCTCCCTACCTATACCCATGTTTAACTAACGCATGTCTGTACGCAGAAATGCGGGGTAACCACGACCGCCCCCCGCCTCCCCCGGCCCAGGAAGGAGTCAGTATTTGGAAGTGCTCGTCTTCTCCGAAAGCAGTTAGCAGGTCTTTGGAATCTGTATTGAAATTCTAAGTGTTGAGAATTCTGCGCCCTTCCTCGGCATTCTGCGGCTCCTTGCCTTCGGCCTCCGCGTGCCGCGTAGAGATTATTAATCAGAAGCGTGTGTGTGTGTGTGCGTGTGTGTCTCAAAAGGAGGGGGAGGTTGGCTTCCGAATACCGAGAGGGATATTTACAATGGGTACATCCTCTAGGTGACTGGAGATTTTATTATGATTACGATTCTTTTGTACTGGGAAATCACTGCTCTGATTTGAAGATAGGGAGGGGGGAAACCGTATTGAAAACGCTATGTTCGGAATGTCAAGTTATTGAGAGAATTAGTATGCAAAATAGAACTGGCTATGTATTTAAACCAGTGTTTAAAATCATATCCTCAGTTAAGATGTGGGGATATATTGCGGTAAAAAATTTTAAAGACCCACACTCTATCTACATTTAAAAATTTATTTTGGTAAACGCAATCGATTCGTGTAGAAGAAAAAAACGTAACAATCAAATGCCAAAGAAAAAGAAAGAAAAATTCTCAAAGTCCAAAACATTTCGGAAAACATCTTGTTCCTGCCTCTGGGACTCGTTCTCGCCACCTCAGAAGAGAAGGCTGGGCAAGTGTCTGAGTCTTCAAAGCAAGCCTTAAAATTTTAATGTGAGGTGGCCAACATCATCTTTAAATGTCACGCCTTGTTCTGTGTTTCACCAAATTGGCCCCTTTCGTTAAATCCTATATCTGTTATACAATTCTAAATAATTATTTCTGATTGAGATGGTAAATTAATCATTCGGTGACGTGGGAGGGGGAGACACGTGTCTAATTGGAGGTTTCGAAGTTCAGTGAGGTGGTATTTTTAGCTCGGAAAGTCCAAATTGGGATATTTGGGCCTCTCTCCCCCTCCCATCGTTCCCCCACTCCCTCCCCATTTTACTCCCTCTTTCCCTTTGAGCTGTACCCCCCCCCACCTTTTCTCAGCTCCTGTCTCTCGCCCCTTCCCCCTAACACCTCCCTTCTTGCCTCTCCCTTCTCCACTTCCCCTCCACACACACTCCCCATTTTTCCGCGTGTATCTCTGTCTCCCCCCTCCCTTATTTATTGTCTGATCCTATCAGCCAAGTTAACAGGAAAGTAGCAAGTGGGAGGCCCAACACCCTCCCTCCCGCGCGCCCCGGGCACTTTGGGGAGGTGTCAGCCGCTGACAGGTTACCGGCCGGAGTGTTGGCCCTCGGTGCTGGGCATGCTGCCCGCGGCAGAGTAGGGGTCTGTGCGGGTTGCGGGGCTTATTCAAATACCGCCCGCTGCTGCTGTGATTCGCAGGACTCGGCCTCCATATGGTAATACGGGGCGGGCGGGGGCGGCGGGGGGAGGAGAGGAGGCGCAGAGGGGAGGGGAGGATGGGGGTGAGGGCGGGGTGGGAGGGGGCTCCGGCACCGCGCGCTCCGCTGCCGGGCTGGGACAGAGCACCCGGACCCGCGGTGGCAGCGGCAGCGGCAGCGGCGCGACCCACCCTCCACCACGGCATCCACCGAACCAGCGAGCCACCGAGCCGCCGGCCCCTGGGGTAAGCCACAGCGCGCTCACGGCAGTGACGGTGACGGTTCAGAGGCTTCAGGTTCCTACCATGCGCCAATAAGGGAGATTAGAAGCAGAAAAGGAGATTACGGAGAGATCAGAGATAAGAAGTGTACCTCTGTGTCCCTTGTCACGCAGCGCGAGAGCGCGCGCGCGCACACACACGCGCGCGCGTCTGTACACAGATGCATGCACAGACATCCCTACATGCACACATTCCTTGCTACCACCATCTAAATATATGCACCGCCACTGTATGCCCTGCGACGTGGCTGATACGTTTGTCCTGGTCCCTGCATAAAGGCGGGCAGGTATGTGCCAGAGTCCAGGTAGGAACAAACCGCCGCGCACGATTGAATTGCAGCCAAACTCGAAGAGACACTTAACCTGCGGAATTGTTTCACTCAGCCTGGTGCCCCCCCACCCCTCCCCCAAGAAACTGACAATTCTGCAGCCTGTTGTGGAATACCTGCAATTATTCATAAAATGTGTTGAAAATGTACTTTAGGAAACGGTAATTTGCTAAAAATGGCAAAGCAAGGAGAAACCAAAAGGATTAGTGCATCTCCGTTTTTAAATGTTTTACGTGTAGCCATCTGACCACTTTTTATTGGGTGACATATCATATGAGCACTTCGGTATAGGCTTGGAAAAACTACAGCCAGGGGTAAGGCTGGAAATACCTTAAGAATTAAGGGTGCTAAAAATGGACGCTGGATAGTCTAGCATGAAAGACGGCACAGAGCTGTAGGTTTAAAATGGGTGGAAACACACATGAATATTTATACATGGAAGCCATTGGAGAGGGTGCGTCTCGCCCTGAGTATCTGTGCAGGTAAGTCATTCGTGAGAACACTAATTACCTGTGCATGTACTCGGACTTGTGTAATTGAATAAGCTGCATGTGTGCCTTTTGCTACTCTTTGTGGCTATGCAATTATGGATTCAGTCTTCTTAAAATGATAGCTTTGGGGAAATTTTTTAAGTGGACTTTACACAGATATATTTTTCAGAAGCCATTGTGCTGAATAGACATATTTGCCAGAATGAAAAATCCAACCCTATAAATAAGATTTCCACTGCTTGAAATCTAACTCAAGGCCTGTATATTTTAGGACAAGTCAACTGGCTTAATATAGTAAACTATCTTGTTTATTTGTTTTCATTCCAAAGTCAGGAACTAAGGATGCTTTTCGATCAAGGTAATATGCCTTGTTTCCAGTCATACTAAGATAAAAATGAAACAGTAAATTCTGAATGAAGCAGAAAAGGTACGACATACATGGTTGAAAATGTCTTCCTTGCAGAAGAAGGCTGTCAGTTGCTGTTTCTACACATTTTAAGGTTTTTGGTGGGGGGGGGGCAATAAATGCTAGAAAGCAATAGGGCGGTGAATGCTATACCTATCAGTTAATCAGCACAAGAATTCTTTAGACATCTTTGGAGTCACTTTCTTTTATAGATACATTGTCTCAAATGCATTGGCCCAAACTGTTTTGCTAATATGAAGTTAATTAGACAATCCAACTTTGAGCCTTGAGCGATGGGCAGCACATCAGATCAAGGGGATATGTCAGGGGGAGAAAAAAGGTGTCTTTTCTTTTATGACCAAACCAGGAGGTTATACATCTGGAATTACATACATGACAGGTGTGCATATATGGAGCCTTAAATAAACAGGAAGCAGGAAGGCAATTGTACATATCATCTAGCAAGAGAAAGCCGCAGACACTTGCCAAAAAATAGACAGACAGAAAGGGACAAGAGAGACAGAGAGACAGAAGATAACCAAAAAAAAAAAAAAAAGTGGGGGAGAGAATCAACAAAACGATAAACCTGAACTTTTCACGAATTAAAAAAATGCAAATATATCTTTACATATGCATCAGTATTAAAAATAATACACGCTGGAACCCACAGGAGCGGGAGGAGGAGGAGAGGTGGAGGAGAGGAGGAGGAGGAGGAGGAAAGAATGGAGGCGCCGCGGAGCCCTGATTATGCATGGGCTGGAGCTGCCTCCTCTAACCTGTTCTTCTCCGAGCCGGGCAGCCGGCGGTCCTCAGCCGCCCACAGAACAGGAGCCGAAACAACCGTTCCCGAAGGCTACAGCGTTTATTTTTCTCTTTTGGGGGTTTTGGCGGTTGTTTCAGGGGCTCGCCAACTGGCCCCTTTAATTAAAAGCTTCAATAAAAGGCGATCGCGCCAGGAATGCACGGGCTCCTCTTCGCGCAGGATTTGCATATTTTTTTAATGCCCTAATTTCCTTGATGTATGTAAATGTAGCCGGACGTAGAGGGAGACAGGGAGCTGACGTCAATGGACGTGACCTCGCAGCTAAACCTTGAACGTGAAGCCGGGATGGGGGAAAACGCGGAGCGGCGGCCGGCGGAGCCCGCCAGCACGGGCGGCGGCCACGGCGGTGGCAGATCCAAGACCCGAGGGGGGCCGGGGAGCCCGCGTGTCGACCCCGGGGGAGGACGAACGGCCGCCTTCTTTCTCCGCAGCTCGGCTTCCAGCCTCGCCAGCCTTCAGGCCGCATCGCAGGCTCTGGTCCTACACCTCCAGCCCCACGAAACACACGTTCTCTTGCTTCCCCCAGAAAAACAGCACACCCCCAAAACAACAAACCCAAACCAACAGATAACAGACCAAATCAAATTCCCCAAGGCTTTAGGCCAATGCTCGGGTAGCTTATCACAAAGAAGATTCTGACAATGGAACATGAATTTTTTTTTTTTTTTTTTTGGCTTCTCTCCACAAGAAGAGGAGGGGGAGACCTCAGACAAGAGCAAATCACTCCTAAAACACGATAAACTACACGTGTTTCCAGTAGGGAGAGGTAAATCGCCCAGCCGACTGGTGAGGGCTTCTCGTTTCCGTACCTGTTTACCTGTGCACTCATTAAGCGCGTTGGCTTCATTAACAGCCTTGCCTGGAGCGTGCGTTTTATACTGTGATGGGAGTGTCGTGTGTGTGTGTGTGTGTGTGTGTGTGTGTGTGCGTGTGTGTTTTGGGGAGGTGCCTGGGCTGGTGAGCACCGAGGCAGGCGCTGTGAGCGAGATGAGCGAGAGACCAGCGTCTCTCCAAGGCCACCTCCGGGACTTATCTTTGGGGCCATCTAGGCCAGGGATCCGGGGCTGGAGTTCGAGTGACGCCCATCTTAAGGCGGGGGTGGGGGTGGGGTGGATCAGAGAAGGCGTCTCTGTAGGGCCAGGCCCTGACATTGTCTAGGGAGGGGGGAGCTTGAGGTGTGAGCGAGTCGGTGGCCGCAGGCCCGGGCGCAGTCTTGAGGGATTTAGCCCGGTGGACTTTGCACTTGGAGCTCGGCGGCCTCCGCGAGGAGGGAGCGGCTCGCGGCGACGCGGCAGGGAGGCCTGCAGACTCCAGACTACGGCCTCGCGCGCCCGCGGGTGCGTGCCCGCGCTCCCGGCGGGGGGCCGCCGGCACCTCCCAGCGCCCATCCGCCCCCGCCTCTGCCCGCCGCCCTCTCCTAGGCCGCTAAGAAACGGTTCTCGGCCTCTGCGGGGACCGGGGCTGTGCGGAGCCGGGGGCGGAGGGCCTGGGTTCCGGGCTGGCGAGGCCGGGGCGGCACCGGAGGCCGCGGGGCCGGCTTCCTAGTCCGGCCCTGGGCCGCCGAGGCTGCCGTTTCTTCGTTCCACCTCTCGCAGCCCTAGCTTTGTTTTCTTGACATGCTTGTGGCCACCGGGCCCCACGCCTGCTCTGGGAGCGTGTGCGTGTGCGCGGGGGCGGGCGCGCGCGGCGGGCGGGGGCCCTCCCGCCAAGGACACGCATGGCTGTCTGTCCTCCGGCTGCACTTGGCGGGAAAGCTGGGGGCCGCCGGCTGGGCTACTCGCCCGCGGCTCTCATTACCTCCTCCCCACTCCCCCTTGGGCCACATTTACATACGGGCCACTCGTCTGAATTTTTACAGCCCCCGCCTCTCGCCCCCCTTTCGCACGCGCGCAGGCTCGGAAGAGGCGCCCGCGCGCGCAGACCCCCGCGCTCAGGCTGCGGGCGGCAGGGGCGCGCGAACAGGCCCAGGGGTGCAAGCAGCCCTCCGTGCGACGGCTTCTTGCACCTCCCTCTCGCGCCTACACCCGTGACAGCATCCCGGCTCGCGTCTCAGGAAGCCCACCTTCCCTTCCAGGCTCCCACCCTTCTCTCCCTGCACACTCCCACCCACACCCTCCCACATCTCTCAGCCTCTTTCCCTGGAACACACACACACACACACACACTTTCTTCCCCCTCAAATAGCTAACCCCTATGGAGCGTCCCTGGTACCTTTTGAATAGCTCTGAAGTTTAAAGAATAAAAATCCTTATAATGTATTGCTGTCGTTAGCCAAACACATTTAAGGACCACAACAAAAAGAAGGGGAGGAGGAAGGAAGGGGGACTTGAACCAAAAGACCTTTCTTTAAAAAAAAGAAGTCTGCAAGTCAAAAGGTCATTCTCCAAGTTTGTAAATAAAATTGCAAAGGAGTCCTTAAAAAGAAAGGAGAGGGAAGAAGGAAGGAAAGGAGAAAAGATTCATAAGTTACGTAAAAATGGTGCATTGGAAAAACAAAACAGAGCTATCCTTTTGAAAAGCATCTAAAGAAATCAAGAGGGGGAAAAAACTGGAGGAAAAAAAGAGAGAAGGAAATAAAAGGTAGGAAAGGCAAAAGAACTTTCCAAAGAAATGTGTGCTTTCCTACAATAGGAAAATGTAGCCATTGCCTGCTTCAGACGAGACATTTCTAATTTGTTCCGTCTGTCAGGAGGGGACTATGAGAGGTTTGGGTGCAAATTCATTATCTCTGGCAACGCAGAACGTAGTGTGGGGACTGAAAAAGACCGTGGCAATGGATGAACAATAGGGCTTCAGTTCATCAGTAACAAAAGCAGTGGGGAAATTGGTTGAGTTTCAGAGCACGTCCTCCTCGGCAGAGGGGGCTGGACTAGACCTTGGACAGCCCCCCCAAAAACTTGCCGAGCCTCGCACACACCACTTCACTCTCCACTCCGAGTCTCAGGGAGCAAGTGCCTGGTGTGGGGGGGAAAAGTTGGCTTTTTTTTCCTTCTTCGTCTTTTGCGCCTTTCTCTCTCTCCCCCCAACGAGGGAAGATCCGTTTAAACTATTTTAAACGCAATCAAGCAAGAATCACCGTGTGGAATTGAGCGGCAGTTTTAAATGTGCTAAGGGGAGGGATGGTCTGAAAAAAAATTTTTTTTTTCTTTTTTTTGGAGACGCCGAAAGAAGCCTGTTTGCGTACTGCGGCTGCCCTGTGACTCTGGATCTTGTCTCCTGGCCGGCGCCTCGATTCCTACCCAGCTGGATTGGGGGGCAACACTGCCTGGCGCAGCCAAGAGAGCGAGTGAGTATCGCGGCGGCCCGCAGGCGGCAACTCAGCCGGCGGCGCGGGGCCAGCGTGCCTGCCGTGTCCCGGCGCCCGCGCTCCTAGCCTCGCCCGTGAGTCGGGGCCCGCAGAGCCCCGCTGCGGGCCGCTCCGAGGGCCAGTCCGGGGCTTTGCTTCAGCTAATTGATTGTGTGTCTCGGATGCGAAACCTGTTGATCTCGTGAGTTGTCTGAGCCGGGACTGTTAATTATCTAGTGGTTTTACCACCCCCGCGCCCCCACCCCCACCCCAATGAAGAAGAATGCCAGGAAATTTTCGCCGTGGAAAGGGGAATGTTGTATGTTATTTTGTGTTGTCGATAGTGGGACTTCTCCCTCTTACGCCTAGAGCCAAGTGCAATTGTTTTTTGGTTTTGGTTTTTTTTTTTTTTCTCTTTGCGTTCCTGGGTTCAGGATTCGCGTTTTGAATAATTCTTTTAACCACCTCAAAGTTGCAATTACCTGGCAATGGAGTGAGGGTCTGATTGGATTCTGGCGGAAACTTATGCACAGTAGAACCGGTGGATTTCCACTTCCCGTTTCTCTCGGGCCTTTTGGGTTTAGGGAAGCAAGAGGCCGCTTTGCAGGGTTATCCCAAGTTCAGATTCATCAAGATGCAACCATCGCGGTTACTTCTTGGAGCGTTTCAGCTTCTGACTTCTTCTGGTGTCTGAGCGAAAGCCGGGTCTCTGCGGTTTGCTCGGAGCCCAGACCTTGCTGAGGAAGGCGAGACCTTCCTTCCTGGGCTTGGAATTGCCTGCGGGAACCCAGGGCGGTAGGAACCCAGGCAGTGTATTTGCATTAGCGTCTGATACGTTTTCTCTTGCAAATGTACCCGCGCTGTTTGAATGGGGAACTGTCTCGAGGGGTCAGGGCAGCAGTGGAATTCATCAGAAGTTAGTCCGGAGGCCCTGTCAAGTCACGGCCACGGCCGGGGTCACTTTGGACGCTGTGGCAGCCTTAGGCCTAGAACGGCGGCGTCGGATCCCCTGTCCTCCTATCGGTGGTGCCTACCTCTGCCAGCCACACTGCTTCCCCACCTTGGCACCAGTAATTAGGGCGCTGTCTAGAGAGATGAGCTCCCGTAGTCAGCATAATTGAACCACCGCTGTACTTTCATTTTGCAAAACCAGTAGCCCCACCCCATTTCTCCAAAATAACAATAAGCATTTTAGAAAAATCACAAAAGAAAAGCACCTATATTGGGGAGTGTAAGACTTCTTGAATATTGAGTCGTGGGGGATGGGGGAAGGGAATAAAAAAATCCACCACTTTACAGCAGTCAGGTTTTACATTATTCATTGATTTATTGGAGGAAATAGCCAATCAGGAGCCACAGATATGAATGCACATCTCACCGTGCTGTGGCCTTACAGTAAACTATTTGCATCTTTCTAATGGATTAGATATTTATCCAGGGATTCCCATTGTTTGAATGGCCTGGAAATTCAGTGCCTTAAACATTTAAAAAATATGACTTTGTTCCAATCTTTAAATTCTTCCATGGAAGAACTCTCCCTCCTCTTTTGTATGGCAGGTTACAGTGTTCAAATCCCAAATGTTTCTTAAGAGTCCCTTTCTTCTAAGCTAAAAATAAAAGGAAGAAAAAAATTAATTTCCCAAACCCCTCCAGATTCTGCATATTTTGCATTGCCATTATCATGCAAGTCTCCATTTAAATGCAAATTAGCATATTTAACCCTATGGGTGCTGAAGCACAGGATATATTATACTGGGGTTTTCTGGAATCTCTTGGCATTTTAAGGAATTGTGGTAATTGCAATACTTTAAGTGAAACTGTATCTAGGCATGATTTTATATATGTATGTGTATGTATATATAAAACTGTGATCATTTGTTTTCTTGACTGTTTTTCAGATGAGACTACAAAGAGGCATAAAATGAATAGACAATCCAACCAACCAAAGGTAATTTAAAATTTTACATTTGATAAAATTAAAGTGATGTGCAAAATAGAAATAGGATATTATTTACTGGGTGGCAGAGCTGCAGTGTATTGCATATCTCCCATTTCTTATGATAGAAACAATTCCAGAAATATATAAGTTTCCATATGTGCAGTTTTCTCCTGATAGGTATTCCTGTCTATATTATATATTAAGGATAATGCAAATATAACCTTAACTGCTAATAAAAAAGAAACTTAGTGTACAGAAGAAATAATAGGACACTTTTATTAGAAAGTAAGCCAGTCAAGTACCTTGCCTGAACTGTACAGATCACTATAAATTAAATGGCTTTTATGTGGAAAATGGTAGTCTTGACTATATTAGTGGACTGTGGTTTACATGCATGAGAATCATACAAACTCAATATTAAAAAGGGATTTCTGTGATAGGCCAGTTTCTTCATATACTCTGCAGAGGTCTGAATAGGATTCAGAGAGGTGTTCTAAATATTAGTGGCAAACCTGATGTATTTGCATTTATGGAATAGCATAATTCTGATCTAAATATGTGGAAAATCATAACTTTCCACTTTTAACTTAAGCAGAGATTGTTTATTCCCAAGAAAACCAGGATGTTTCAATTCATGTTTCAGCCATCTGGAGACCTATAAAAAGATTAGAAAACAAGCATGACAATCACGTCCCAATCTACTGGTCATTAATGGGAATTTATTAGAGAATGAGTAGGCAAGCCATATGAATTCAGTATATCCTTCGATATGCAGATTTCAAAAAGGTATTCTGTAACTCAGCTAAATAGCTTTTTGAAAAGCAAAAATAACTGAAATAAAAACATGTAGGTGTTAATAGTTGCTCATAACAATGTGTGGCAGACATTGCTAGGAATCTTTAGAATAGCACAATTGTTTCGGCTTCTCTCACATCCTAGATAGTAACAGTTTTTGAAATGAATATGATAAACCTTGGCAATATTCAGAATAACCAGGTGTGTGAAGTCTTGCTGTATATTTTTTATTTCTTCATACCTTGAAAGATGATGGAGAGGTAAAATATTTAATTAGCTATATATGGCTAGTGAACAGACTGTCCATAATCATTATGTTGGATAAATTCACTTTTGGGTGCTCTCAAGTGATCTACAATATATGTGACAGGCAAGGGGCCAGTCTTGGAGTTAGTTGATATGACTATGTGGCATTGCCACAGAAGATGCTGTTTTAAGACAGTTTATTCTATAGCTTCTAACTGTAGAAGCATCTCAGATGTTGTGTCTTGGCTTTAATGATAGTAACTTGGGTTCTAAAAACTCATTTAATTGTTAAATATGGCAGTATAGTTATATTCATTTGCAAATTCACACAAATATGGTGGTGATCCACACACAGACATACATGCATTCCATCTCTCTACTTTCACCAACCCCCACCCAGACATATAGAAAGCAAAGAGATATTCTAAAAATAACTGACATTTGGTGGGGTTTTGACTTAAGGAATTGAAGTAATCTGATCATATGTTTCCTTTATGTGGTACATGCCAAATCACTAATGATTCTGCTTCTAGGTCTTGGAAATCAAGGCCAAAATACTCTCCATCTTCCAAGGAAGTAAAGCTCATAGGGGTTTTACATAATGTCAAAAATGTCATGTGCCTCAGTGATGTATTCAGTTTTTATCCAGTTTATGTTGTGCCTCATAGTTCAAGAAGGAATAGTAACTGTATGGGTGTGTGTTCCTCTGATTTAGTTTGCATGCATGTCTTATATATAACCCAGTGCAGCCATTTCTGATTGTACTTCCTGTTCCAAAATTTGATAAAGAAAATAGATGAGCAATTTCCATGGCTTAGTCTTTTCTAAATAATCAGGACAAGAATGCTTACCAAAAAAGTGAAGTACTAAAAAATCTAGGGGAAAGTTGGCATCTGTGTTACTAACTTACATATTTAATTTGTGTAATATTGTTATCTGAACTCTTAATTGGGGGCTTTTCTTAGCAATTCTGGTTTTCTTGTCAGTCTTTTCTGTAGGCTTTGCATATGTGCACTCTGTATGCATTTGATAGCCTTATTCACACTCGTCTTAAATGAATAAATTACTGAATTAATGAGAGTGGATATTAATTATGAAAGTGTTTTAGTGATGGGGAAAATAGTAAACCTATAAAAATGAGGCTGTTGTGATAAACTAGTGATGTGTGAACTGAATATGAAGATTTATGACATTTACATGTAGCATGTATTTAAAGAATAGTAACACCACCAAGCATAACTCATAACAGTCCATAAAGTTCACCTATGGTAAATATGTATCTTATGTGGACAAATGTCTGTTGAGGGACATCTGACTATTAGAATTGTACATATCATAGATGCATTAGACATAGATCTCCCATTATGGAGAAGAGAGAAGAAGAGGTCTTTAAGTGGCCATATTCACACTTGGAAAAGTCCTAAGGAAAAGAATGAGGCTAATTATTTAATTAAACAAAATCCCTCTCTAGATAGAAGGGTGGGGGTGGGGAAGGGGAAGGGGGGTAGAGTTATGCTCTTAATGTCCAGGTTTCTTATCTGTCTTTTTAATGAGGTACCAATCCTTTTAAAAATAATTTGATAAGGAAGACCAGTATATTTTGCTCCTCCGTGTGAAAATTAATGTTTGAAACCACAGACAAATCCTCAGCATTTTTATTACAGCAGAGTTGTGTACAACATTAGAAACTATTGCTGCAGTCTTTACCTGTGCTACATTCTAAGGCACACACTGTATACAGAGTTATTTTTTTTTTTTAAAAATCCAGGATGAAGTCGGCTTGCTTAGAGCATTCACTTTGAACTTACAGAACAAAATATGATGCCCTATCGTCACGGTACATAGATACAAAACATGCCTGAGCTGTGAAGCCATTAAAAACACACCACCAGAGCAAATTGTCAATGTAATCACACATGGACTCACTGCGTAATACAGATCTGATTCCTAGCCCCAGAAAGCAAGGCCCTGCTTTAAGCAATCGCAAAGTGCCTTCCATCTGCCTGCCCCTGCAATCTGCCAGAAGAGAAACGCAGGTAAAGACGTTCCCCTGATCTGAAATGCTTTTATCTGTCCTTAGAGAGAGATTTCTTCCAGTCTTTGGATATTAGAGCGGTCTACACTAGCACGGAGGAGGTAAAAGGCCGCGGGTTGCTTTTCCAGGAGCAGGCGGTCGTGATAGCGAAGAGCTGTTGATTGAGAAAACAGGGCTGTGGCAATGCCGCCGCCGCCGCTGCTTTTGCTGCCGCTGCCTCTGCTCAGGCAGCAGACGTGGGGCAGTTGGATGATCACTGATGCATATCAATAACCGTGTACTTGAGATTTCTCATGACATCATCATTACCTTGGTCTCCCGCGGTCTCGAACCTTTGACCTTGCCGGGCTGGACCACATTTTGGCAGTGAAAGCCCCTCCAATGATGGCCCTTTTCTCCTTCTTTCAGACCCGGGGCAGCAGCACGCCAGCAAGACGGCATCTTCTCCTCCCCAGCCTAGAAGCCCTGTGAAATCGAGGATCTTCCCCTTAAAACACACACGCACAAGATATGTGCAGTCAAGCTGCCACCGCTTGGTAAAAAAGCTCATGGTGTCTACCCCAAAAGGATCCGGAGCAGATCCTTGAATCAGCTGTCACTTCTTCTATAGAATGGGATTTTTTTTTTTCCTTCCTCCTTAACCTGCGCTGGAAATTGCCGTTGGCTTTATACGTCTCTATAGAGGGAGGCTAAAGAGTCTTGCGTGAGAATGAAGCAATTTACAATGCAAATAGAGGCCTGTGAAGGGACTGATTCTGCTGCTCACTCGTAACCGCTTGCTGCACCGTAATAGCTGGTTTTATTTTCTGATCTTGATAGATGAATTGTTGGCTAACGCTGCCGGAGATTACCTGCTGAAAGGAGGAAAAAAAAAAAAGTTTGGAATAAACTTTGAAAGCCACAGCTCTCGTTTGGATGTTTTAGCCGCACACACAAACAGAAACCAGGTCATATTTACATACAAGGAGGCTTCTTTTGCGCGGCCAAGTGTCCTGGAGGACTATACTCTTCGGCGCTGCCAGAAAGATCCGGACCTGGAGTATGGGCCGAAGAAGACAGAGGCTGTGAGGGAAGCGAGTTGTTATCTTTGGTTATCTAGCTGTATGAGTGTATTGGTCTTCATAAAGCTAGATAACCGAAAGTAAAAACTCCTTCAAGGTCGCCGGCGAGCGTGTGAGAGTGAACGACAGCCCAGAGACAGTAAAAACCGGAAAGGTCAGGAACACTTATTGAATCTAACTTTGTTTTTGTGTTCGTTTTTGCCTTATGATGAAAGGTGGGATGAGAGGAAATTAAGCGACACACGTATGCCAAAACATAAAGGTGGAGATATTTTGCTAGAGGTCGTTGGAGCTGCAGAGGAGACTTGTATAGTGCTAATGAGTAAGGGGGCACGTGTAGTGTGTCCTACTTTAAGGCGAAAGTTTACATATGGAGGTGTTTTTTTTTTTCTTTTTTTTGTTGGAAAGCTGTTGTAGAGCTGTCTGGTACCTAGTTTGCAAATGATTCCATATATATGTAGACTTAGGCTGTTCCCTTCTGAGACCCCCTCCCCTGAAAAATTTAAAGATTATACTTGGAAACTGCATATGTTTGGGTTGTATGCCAAATTATATGAAATTAGAGCTGGAAGGTTAATAATTTGTATCTACTGAGGATACTGAGTAGAGAGAGCTAGGAGGAAAAATGCAAAAAAAAAAAAAAAAGCAAAGGCTGATTTTTATTCTTCTATTCAAAATACAAGGACAGATGCTTCTCTGTTCCAAGAGGGTTTCCTTGAGGAAGCTACTGAAGCAGAAAGACATGATGGAGACGAGATCGCCTCCCCTCTTGTCAAAGTGTTAAAAAAATGTTCTGTCTTACTCTGCGCCTAGCATTGGAAATGAAAGTGACATTTACGCCACAACCCACGTGTGCGCCTCCTCTCTTTTTGTTTAAGGATGATCAGGTCTATCCAGGAAACAGCTCTGGCATCCCAAACTGAAATAATTAGGACGTATATAGACCTGACAAAAATGGAAAGGGGGTGGGGAATCTGAGGGTCTGTCTTGCCTAATTGATTCCACTAAACGGAATGCGGGAGATGTGAACGGCAGGACGCTCCGATTCCCACGCTCGGGGGCAAGTGGTAAAGCGGGGCCCGGCAGCCTATGACAGACAGCCCTGTTGGGGGGTGGGGGTATGAAAAAAACATCAAGTGCACACACCATGCTCATCTCCATCGCTTAAGAAAGTAGAGGCATTTCCCACCCACAGCCATCTGCAGCCTCCGAAATGGCAGCGCCAACTGGTCTGTAGCTGCTGCGCACTGTCTGTCTCTGTTAATTTTATAATCGCTGTTTAATCTGGCCATTATTAAGTCTGGCTGTTTTCTTCGGTTGAAATTTTTAATATGGAAGGAAAGCTAGTAGAAAACAGTTTCCCGCAAAGTGCCATTACTTCCTGGCCCTCATGTCAAATTCTCAGTCCCTCCTTTTGGCCTGGTGGACCACCTTTTCTGGCTATTGTTTTGGGTGGGTTATATTTAAAAATATGTGTCTCTGTATAACAGACGTTATGATCACTTCATCAGGCTGTTTACCTCTGAACATTATGTATCTAGAAACTTGGCCTAATTATGCTAGTAGGCGTGCACTGGAAGTGAAACTATAAAATTCTCAACCTGAAGAGTGTTAATTAAAACACAATAAAAGTTTGTTCTGATATAGAACCAGCTAAATGTGTTCTAAACAGCCATTTTCATTTAACCTAAAAATGACTTTGCTTAGGAGAAACTTTGACATTTTAGATGTCACCCCCCCCCATAATCTTTTAGAGAAATCCTTACATTTTTCCTTGCGTCACCAAGCAAACATTTGTATAGGTATTCAAATATAAATGCAAACCTTGCATTACAAAATGTCTGGAAAGACTTGTTACCTTCCACAGGGCCTAGATTACTAGCAATCCCAAATCCCAAACATACAGTTTTTCTTCAAAAGCATTACATTTTCCTTTGTAGTTTCAAATCCTTATAAGACTGCAGCCTGGTGAAGCCTGTAAAAGCACTGTTAGTTTCAGTTAGAAACTCTGAGAGACTTTATTAATGTAAATTCTCAATTTGGCTGCTGAACACGTGCCAAAGTTTTACTACTGTAGTGACCGTTGAGAAGACCCTTGTTTATTTACATTTGAAGCACTGTTTGTGCAAACAACCTTTCATTGTTAAGTGCCTGTATTCCTTTCATTTACTTCATGTCCAGGGGTGCTATTTACCTAGAACCATTGTCTACTACAATTAACATTTACATTACAAAGTGTGTGGTTTTCTTTCTCAAGGAGGTTCAATTAAGGCAATAAGATGTTTGCTGGGGAAACCTATTGTTTACTGAAAGCACTCAATGGAGTCAAATTACTGAAGCTTTTGCCTACATCTTGGTCTTTTATGTAAATGTGTTAAATATAACATCTAAGGAAAATAAACAATATTATAATTATGTGTTTGCCATTGTCATATCAAACTTGCTTTGTATCATACTAATGTTACATGACTTATCGATCAATAAAAATACATTTCAATGTTATTATTTTCATTTTATTTTTTGCTGTTCCACTGCTCTTGCTGCAACATGTCCCAATTTTTCTTTTTTCTATTACACATCAAACTTCTGACATTTTGTTTTATTTGTGTGTGTTGAAGAGAGGTACTGTATCTGAGCGTGGGTCTGAAGGGTGTCCGAGGTAATCTCTACAATGACCTTATAATAAGGTGATATTTCTTTGAAATCTGAAATATTCCAAAGGCATGTACATTTAAGTCAAAAGAAGTGTAAATATCAGTTAAGTAGTTCTTTGAAAGCTAGTTTTAACATTGGCAGAAACCGGATCAAGTTTATTTAGCATACCACTGCATTGTAAAACAGTTGGAGTGAAGTTGCAGGTTGCGTGAGCATGCATGTTAACTAGTGGGAACCAAGCGCAGTCTTTGTGAAAGGGGAGCAGCAGATTGCTGTGCAAGGCCAATGTTAAAAAGGCAGCTGAATTTAACACCATCTGGAAGAAAAGATCCCTTCACGACTTTCTCACACCGTCAGACAAAACTAGTGTCTCTTGTTCCGAGCCCTTGTCTATGCAACCATACAATACTGAGTCATTATACTTTTGCTGAGAGAAAATTTGAGAACACAATATGGGTAACCAGTGAATGACCAAGTTTCATTGTGCCCGCTTAAGTCGATTGAAATCTACGTCTACAGCTATGAATGGTAGTATTGTTTTCCTCACCAGGGCTGTACTAAATGTCAGCACAGTGTAAAGAAAAACTTGAAGTCTGCAAATAACTTACCAGATCTCAATTATAATATTTTCCCACACTAGAACTAATATCATTGCGAGGGGCTACATTGCAGAAAATACAAAAAGAAACGAAAAGAAATAGAGAGTTCATTTAGAAGTTATTTTATCCAGACAAACATTTTAATTTTCTGGTGGGAACCTCAATTTAGGCTGTAGGCTGGGTTCAGAAGTGGAATTCATTACTGGGAAGTTCAAGTTACAAAAATGCTTCTGGTGCAATTAAAATAGAATAAAACAAACAAAACAACTAGTCCCACCTGAAACCCTGGTTTCTTAAATATAAAGACACTCTCCTTGGGTTTTATTGCTTTAGTTCTGCTGAGAATTATTGGTATGGATCTAGCTTAAATTGTGCTTTAAATTCTGGCAGACACTGCTCTTTCAAGTTCGCCACTATGATTGACATTGCAAAAGAACATCATAGATGTACATTTCCAAAAATATTTGACATTCTTGCACCTCCCTAGTTGGAATCTGGTGCCCTCAGGAATACACCTCTTTTTATGTTACTTCCCCTCTCCATTTTCTAACTTTTCTTTTCTCAAGGTGTGTGAAGCAGTTATTATACTTAGGTTGAAGGTTCACACAATCTATTTGACTGTAAACAGTCAGAAAAAGGAAACAAAACAATTCAAAAAGAGTAAAAGGAGTTGGTTGTGTCTGTTTTATTAGGATGTCTATTTTAAATATAATTGACTTTGCAATTTTGTTATTGTGTCACCAAGTGTCGCATAGTTCTTAACATGTGAGTGCAAAGCAGTGAGTAATTGTTGTTTTGCTGAATAATACACCTGAGTTGCCGACGTCAAAGGCATTATTCTGTGTATTTCTAAACAGGAACGTTAACTGCAGGTTTTGACATCTAGAATCTTTTCATGAAATACTTAGAAATAGGCTGATAAAATGACACCTGTGAAAGTAAATATAAAGATATAACCAATTTATTTTCCTTGTCCTACTTTATGCAAGAAAATTAACAATGAAAAGTCACTCAATAATAGAATTATAGAGGATATAACATAAAACCAGTCATACAGAAAAATCCAAAACAACAACAAGAATGGAAATTAGAGATTAAAAAAAAAGATATATGAAAAGACTTTTGCAATATCCTTGCAGGATATGAATGAATAGAC